GTGCGGTCCCTTTGTGGTACAGCAGTGTGTGCACTGGGGGAGTTTGTCTTGGCATCCCCTGGGCTGTACCAGCTTGGTCCCTCTGGTGGATGGAGCGCAGGACTGGCTCTTAGGCAACCTGGGTTCTATTCCTAGCTCTGCCATTGACTTGCTGGGTGACCTTGGGCAAGTCACTGCCCTGCCTTGTGCCTCAGTTTCCCCATCTGTAGAGTGGGGAGAACAGGGCTTTGAGCTCTGTGTGGGAGAAGTGTGTAGAAGAGCTAGGTATTCAGGGTGTGACATGGACCCGTCTCTATTGACTGCATGAGACAAACACATAGTGGCTTCTCTATCTCTTCACCCCTCTCTGTTCTGGTTTCAGACCCCCTGCTCCAGGGACGAAGGACACCACACAGGTCTCCACCAGAGCCCTGACCAGTAACAAACCAGCCATGGCCAAACCTAAACAGATGGCGCCACCTGGTGGCCAGGCCTCAGCAGTACCACAGCAGCAGAAAAACACCACCGCCTCTGCAAAGAAAGGTACAGGTGCCTCACGACTAAGCATTGGTTGGTGGCTTAGATCTGACACCAGCAAGCTACGGTGACTCCACAGTGTGGGCAGCCAGGGCATCTGAGATTCAGTGTCTAGTTGGATCCCATGGGAGGGTGCCTGGGGAAAGGAGCGAGGTGTATTCGTAGGTTGCCTGCTTTGGACACCAGGCTGCCCCGTCTCTGGGCAGGAGTGGGGGTGGCCCATCTGCTGTAGCAAAGGGCAGCGTGCTGCTGCCATTCACTCGACCGGTGGTGAGATGTCTGAGGAACGCACTCCACCCCCCACTTTGTTACCCCAGTGCCCCTGCATGCTGCTCAGGACTCAGCTCCTCGGAGAGTCTCCCCCTGCCCACCATGCTGGGGGGATGGGGACCCCAGCCAGCATGGAGCAGACCCCAGGGCTCTGCTCCCAGCCCTGGGCATTAGGGATGCAGCTGGAGTGCACTGCACTAGGGATATTCTCTCATCTCCAAAGGCAGTGCATGAGTTGGAGCAGCCCCGTGGCTGCTCTCAGTTACTCTGGGGACAGGGCCATCACTAGGACCACCACCAAGGTGGCTTAAAGCCTGCTCTATCCTTGCCCCATGGAGTGAGGTGGGAATTGGGCCACTCTAGCGGGAGCCAGTGGCTTTCCCAGGGTGCTGCAGCAGCTCACAGTGCCCTCTGTTGGCTTGGCTGTTACCCCAGAAGGCACTTCCAATTGGCTATAAATCTAGGGCCTGGCCCTGAGACCTGGCTTCTTTCTTGTCCCTTACAGACCTTGTCAGAGCTGCCCCCGTCTCCAGGGCCCGGCTGTCTGGCTCGAACCCCATCCTCAACAAGATTGCTGGCCTGGCCAAGACATCCAAAGCCAAGCTCCCGGCAGAGCCCAAGACCAAGAGCCACCCAGTTCCTGCCACTCCCAAGGCCTTGGAGAAGCCAAAGGGGCCGAAGACCCCTCCCAAGGCAGGGGGCAGCCATCCTGCCACCCCACAGAGAGCAGCGGCCTCCACCCTGAAGAGGTTATCCGCTGGGAGCCCTGGCAAGAAGCTCCCTAAGAAAGAGGCTAGCTACAACCTGGAGCCAGTGCCTGTGCCCAGGAAAAAGCTGCTTTCCCCAGGACAGGGAGAGGCCAAGGAAGCTGCTGCCAATGTCCTTTTGGCCTCTCCTGATGTCCTGCCTGGCACAGAAAGGGCAGCCCCCGAGGGCGATGTGAGGCCTCTGGATGAGAAAGGATTAACACCGGAGGTGGGCCCGGTCCTGTTCAAGCCGGTCCCTGCAGATGGGGATGCTCCCGAGAGCTATAGGCCAGAGGTGCCGGGAGTGGAACAAACACCTGCCAGGGACCTGGAAGGGGTGGTTGGAGGTGGAGCACCCCAGGAAGGAGGAGGCTCATCTGGCCCAGAGCTGGTGGTTGCCAACCCTCTATCCCACCAAGAGAGCTGTCCTGCAGAACAGCAGCTGACCGGTCTCTCCCCACCACAAGGGGTGGGCTCTCCTCCCAGGGAGATGCTGCCCCCAGCAGGCACAGAGCTCCCTGATGTGACACTCCAACCCCAGGGAGAGCAGAGCCTGGTGGACACCCCATCTATGCTTCTAGACCCCTGTGAGACTGGCCCAGCAGCCCAGGGGGAGCCATTGCCCTGCCAGGAAGCCCCAATGGGGGCTGAGCACCTAGACTTGTGGCCGGAAGGCAAAGGAAGAGCAGCTCAAGATGTGACCTGCCTGGCCCCAGCCCAGCTGGATTCCTCCTGCCCAGCCGGGGCCTCCCAGATGCTGCCCCTCAGCAAAGAGGCCCCTCGGGGTGGCACAGGGGGACAGCGATCTCCCTGCGGGTCACCGAAGCACCCGGCAGAGCTTCTGCGAGGGGGAGAGCGGGAGGAAGAGCCGCCCGATGAGCCAGAGGCAGAGTGGTCGACACACGAGACGGACTCGCTTCCTCGGGTTGGCCTGGAGGCTTCCTCCCCAGAAGATGTGGCAGAGCCAGGAGCCGTGGAGCTGAGAGAGGAGAGGGATGGGAGTGTCTCTCTGACCCCACCAGGGCGTGGACAGGAAATCCAGGATGCTCTTCCCCTGGAGAGAGGAACCCAGGGCACTTGCGGGGGCTCCGGGAAGATGGGGGATCTGGATGCTGAAGGAGTGACTAGTACAGGGGAGGCAGCGGCTGTTTCCCAGGGGATAGAGGGGCTCAGCGGAGAGCCTGTCCGTGCAGGGCATGAACCAGAGGAAGCTGTTCCCCCCACAGAACAGCTCCCTGAGGACAGCAAGGGCCCTGAAGACCAACCCAGTGTCGCTTCTCCTGGCATGTCCCTCCCTGGTGCTGAGCTGGCCGGAGTCACCTTAAGAAGCCTTGAGGAAGCCGAGCTGCAATGCACCTGCCTAAGGTCTCCTGGAGACGTTGCCGAGGTGGGGCCCACGGAGGGGGAGCCCCCACTGAAGGGTGGAGCTGATGTGCTGGAGGACCTGGAGCCATGTGCCCAACTGGAGTCACCACTGGGTCCCGAGGTGACTGTGCACAAGCCTCAGAGCCTGCCCCTGAAGAGCCTGGAGCTGCTGCAGGAGCCGGCCCAACGCCCCCCGCCCCCAGGGCAGCTGTCGTCCAGTAGCGCCGAGTCGGAGGGGCCGTCCAAGAGCCGCTCCAAGTCCAGCACGCTGAGCGGCCCCGACCTGGCTGGCAAGAGCAGCAGCGAGACCAGCACCCCGGAGGAGCTGCGGGATTACGACAGCAGCTCCGGCGTGGAGTCCAAGTCGGACGAGAAGCTAGAACAGAGCTTCCCCCGCAGCCCCCTGGAGGACCTGCCAGGGGAGCAGGACCTGGGGATCCACATGGACAAGGGGGATGACGAGGCAGAGACCCTCCCAGCAGACGAGCTCCTAGGTGACCCGCCCACCGAGCCCACAGTGTCCTCCTCCGAGGAGGAGGGGGAGCTGGATGGAGACCTCCTGAAGGAGCCCGGCTTCCCTGCCATGGGCAAGCCCCTGGTGTTCCGGGCGCCGTCCCCACCCCGTAAGCCGTCCCTGGAGGAGTTGGAGGAGCTGGGCTCGGGTGACGCCGGCACCGGGACGCCGGCCTCCACCAACTCGGCCACCTCCTTCGACGCCGTCTTCCACCTCCACTCCACTGACAGCTGCGGGAAGAGCCCGGGCCTCTCCTCCCTGGAGAGTGAAGAGCACTCGGCCGAGAGCACCAGAGACCAGATCCCCAAGGGCTCCGAGCCGGCCAGCCTCCCCGAGGCGGAAGAGCATGGCAAGATCTCCCTCCCCGGGGACTGGGGCTGCCAGCTGGAGTGCCCCCTGCAGATGGGCCCGGCGGACGAGGAGAAGCTGGCCTCCCAGCCCTATGGCACTGCTCCCCGTGGCCCGGCGGCAGGTAATGTATAGAGGAGCCTGCCGTGTGTGTCCAAGTGCCAACGCCGCGGTACCTTAAAGCTTAACTCAGTCATGTGCAATAACGTCCCCTGCTGAAGGGAATCCCCCCATCAGTGGTCCCCGCTCCCTCCTCTCCTAGTGTATCTCCCACCTAGCCGGATGGGTCTGACATCTCTGTACAGTCCCTCAGTCATAGCCTACATTTTTCTGTGTCTAGATCAAAAATACCAGGCTCTCCCCCATGATCACTGGCACCTAGGGGGAAGCCGTCTGTGTTTTAATGTTCTTCCCTTTTGGGGTGGGGGATTGGGGGCCAAACTTTTTAGCCTTTCAGTACATTGAATAAAGAGTCACTTATCTGGATCTGACCTCCTGGCCTGTTCTTTGTATTTTTGTGCAGGACTCTTACCACCCCTCCCTTAGCCTGGACTGTGGAGGGCAGATCGGGGGGGAGGGAGGGGGTTGATTGGCAGCAGGGCCAAGTAGATTTGGGGTGGGGGCTAGGGAGCGGCCATCTGTCATGGCTGACGTCTTACCACTTGGTTTGTAGCCTTGCAGCAGACTAGAATGTCTGGCCTTAGCCACAGTCCTTCTGTTGCCATGGGTTCTCCAGAAGATAGTTTGGCCATCACATGGAAGTTCTTCATGGGGCTGAGAGCATCTCAAGCCTTCCCTGGACCACCATGTGGTGGGTGGACTTTTCTAGACCCCACCAGCCCTCATCTCCTGGACCTTTTGGTCCAAGGGAACTTTCCTGGGTCCACAGATGGTAGTTTTTGAGAACTAGAGCACCTGATGCTTTAGTACCTTCCCTTGGACAGATCTAGCCCAGAGATCAGGCCACTGCCATGATCTGAGGCCCAGTTCTATGGGCAGCTCCAGCCTCCGTGATATGGTTGCCATGGAGACAGTAGATGACTTTTTAACAGCCAAAGGATGCTGTGCCTAGGTTGGTCCTATTGCATTGTGCTTAAATCAAAGCTTCATGGCTGGTAGGAGATAGACCTAATCTAGGCTTCTCCTTAGCTGCTCTGCTTAGGATATTGCCCCCAAGACCATGCCTCCCTCCTGGGCAGCTGCTGGCAGCCTGGGTATCTCTGCCATGGAGGCATCCCAAAGATCTAGCCATAGGCAGGGAAGCAGGAGCCAGTTCCTAGTTGAATCTGCTTTGGGCATCTTGCTGGTCGGGGTGGTATCGAATGGGCTAACCCTGGATGTTGCCTGGACTCTTCTCCCTGCCTGTCTGTGTGTGCCTGTGCCAGTCTGTCCTGTTGGTGCCCCCTGTCTCTCCTTCGTCCGTCTTAACACCCCTCCCATGGGCAGTTCTCTCCAACCCATGCTCCTGTGCCCTGTTGTAGGTGAGAGCGGGGCTGGCCTGGGGCCCTTCTCCTGGGGGCCCTGCCCCCCTGAAATCCTCTCCACCATTTACGAGGTGGAAGGAGGCGCAGAGACCCCTGGGCAGGTGCCAGAAGAGGAGGAGGAGGATGGGAACTACCAGCTCCCCCCTGCTGTCCCCCGTGACAAGGCCCCCCTGCACCTGGGCAGCCTCCAAGCAACTGTCATGCAGCAGCTGATCAGCCGGACTCTGCTCTTCTCCTCCACTGGGGAGGCGCCTGTGGGGGGCAGAGGGGCCCCCGTCATGAGTGAGGTGGAGCTCGGAAAGTGGACAGACCTGCTGTCACCATTGGATGAGTCTCGGGCCAGCATCACCTCAGTCACCAGCTTCTCCCCCGAGGACGTCTCATCTCCCCAGGGCGACTGGACGGTGGTGGAGGTGGAGACCTTCCACTGACTTCCCCCACCTGCACTGGCTTCACCCCCTCCTCCCCGCACCTCCTCTGGGTAAAGGCTCTGCCTGTTGTGGCTTAGATCCCTGCTGTGATCTGCTCTTCTCCTTCCCTTGGCTTTTCTGGGGGACCAAGCGTGGTGGGGTGGCCAGTACCTCTGTTCCAGCCACGCAGAACTTTCCTTCTACCTCTTGGCCCACAGTGGAGCAAGTGGCTTCCCAAGTTGAGGTTAAGTAACCAGGCAGAGGCAGCAACTGGAAGAACTTGTGCTGGGGTGAGGCTTGGCTGCTTCCCCTGAGTCCTTGACTTCAGTTTCAAATTTCTGAATTCTGATCTCATCCCCTCCCCAACTCCATGGAGCTCCCAGAGCCTGCAGCCAAAGGGGTGGAGGGTTAACAGCAGGATGGGCAAAACTCTCTCTTGCAACCCTCCCCCTCCCCCCCGGGCCTCCATATACCTCCTGAGTCTGGTCCCCCAAGAGACCGCTTTAATTTGTTAGCCCTGGTGGCCTCCATAACGGATCTAAAATCTACAGGTTCTTTGGCAGAGGCTGGAAGAGGGGTTGGCAGTTCCCAGCCAGTTCTCAAACAGCCAAGCCCATCTCTTCACCTCCTTCCCACCCGCTGCTACAGGAGGCCTCATTCCTTCAGGAGAACAGTGCCAACCACCCATGGTGTGGCTGGAAGAATCGAAGCCATGGGGGGCAGGGCTTTCCTTGCCCAGTGGCTCTTCCCCCTCAAAGACATTCTCAGGGCCATGGTGGGTCAGTTGAGTCCATGATCTGTCTAGCCTGTGGTAGGAGGAGGGGAGGAAGAATGACATGGCCTTAAACCTGGACCTAACTCTTCAATGAATGTTCTTTAATTTCCTCCGGTGCTCGTGGAGCTGGGCTGATGGGGGAAGGGGGTGTGCTGCATGCATGGGGGGTGGTTTCTGACATGATTTGCCTGCTGCGTTGGAAGAGAGCAGAGGCCTTGGCTCATGTTCCTGCTGTTACATTGTGGCGATATGGGGTGGTTGTCTGGTTTTTTTGCTGCTGTGGGTGTAGCCTTTATGCACAGATTTGCTGTCTCCGTTAACTGCCGCTGGCCAGCTGCAACTCCAGTAGCTGAAAGAGGCCCGGGGGGTGGGGGTGGATTGAAGGCTTGGATCCTCAGGTGGGGGCTGGGTGCAGGGGGTTGGGGAGGTTCATAGGCAGAGTGGGGTGGAGAGGCTTGGAGGGGGGCTGGGAATTCCTCTCCTGCAGGGGCTGAGCCTGTGGCAAGGGGGCATGTTTTGTGGTAGCCATGCACCCTAGCAATCCCTAGCTGCTTGCCCCTTGTGTCTATGGGCAGGCTGGGTTACAAGAAGACTCTGCCCAGGTCCAGACTCCTGGTGGCAGAGAGGAAGGCACCATGGTGCCATCTCCACCATAACAGCTCAGTCCCACTTCCCTCTATAGTGCTGCTTGGCTCCAGGGGAGGCACTGGGCTGGATGCTATGGCAGGGACCTCTCTGGTACTTTCCTCTATGCCCACCGAGGTCCTCAGGTGCACCACGGCTGGCACCAAACTCTGAGCATTTTCCATAAAGTTCCACTGGGAAGCTCCTCGCTGGAGGAACCCCAAGGCTGCCGGATGACTTCAGCCCATGGAGAGGTGGCAGTAGGCTTCCTGCCATGGCCTAAGCACAACTCACTACTGAAGTTTAGAGGAGCCAGATGTCAACCCAGCCATGCAACTCGGTGCAGCCTGCTACCCCTCAGCCAGCTGGACTTGGCCGACTTCAAGGGGAGGGGCCTGTGTTCTCTAACACTTGGATCTCAAAGGGGAAAGCCCTGGGGTAGCCGAGCCCAGCTCGTCAGCCATTCCCAGTCAATGGGCAGCCGTGCGGTTATGCTGCATCTTGTGGAGAGGTTCTTTAGCCTCCCTCCCCGGAGCCACAGCCTGCTGATGTGTGTAATGGTGTCGTTGTGAACTGTAGAGAATCTAGCTGCGTTCCTAGCTGTAGTGGAGCAAGTGACTGCGGTGAACAAGTGACCTTTTCGATGAAGTGTGTGTCCTGCTGGTTTCATTCTAACATAGCAAACTGTGAACAGGAAACTCATTTAAACAATAGCAGTGGCTTTTTTTTAAGAGACACTTTAGGTTTTTAATAAAAATGAATTAAAAGTTGCTCAGGTGTTGGGCTCTTCCTTTGTGACCTAGGATGGAGTGGGAGGGAGAGTGGAGAAGGGGATCTCTGTGCCACTGCATGGCAGTATCTGAATTTTAAACCTTGGTTCACGAAGTCTGATACTCCCAACAGGCCCCAATTGAGAGTGAGCCCCATAGGCAGCACCCAGCCCCATCTCAGAGCTTACACCCTAAGAAGGGTGGGAGGAGAAACTGAGGCCCAGAGGGGGGAAGAGACTGGATGGAGCTTGCAGCAGAATGCAGTGTCCTGACTTGCAGGCTCTATCACCTCTCTGCTTCCAGAGGTCTTGAACCCAGGCTTGGAGAAGCTGGCTGCAGAGGGGGAGGATGCATGGGCTGTATGCACCACTGCAGCTTCTCTGAGGATGTAGCAGGCTCTAGCCAGGTCACTGGCTTCACCAGAGGCCAGTAGTAGCTGTGGTAGATGATTTCACATGACCAAGGTGAAAACAGGAGCCATGCTTGACCCAAGAACTACCTCCCACTCACTGGTGCCTAAGGAAGGGAGCAGTAATGGGATAATCCACCTCCTTGGGAACTGTCTTACACCATGTTGCTGAAAGGTTGGGCCTGAACTCAACCAGAGGAAGCTGAGACTTTGCAAACAAGCAGCAGCCTTTAGTAATAACTGGCTATTACTAATCTCCATCAAATAATCCGCTTTGTCCAAGCACTGTCTTGAGGCAGGGAAGGCGCAAGGCTGGGGCTGGGCACATGGAAAATGCTGCTTCTGATCACTCTAGGTCCCATGGCCTTTCATGTACCAGCCCCTTACTGTTTTAACAGGACAGCATCACTAGTCTAGGCTAACACACCAAATCCCTTTGCCTCTGTGTGGTTCTCCTATGCCCTAGTGAACTGACACAGCCCCTGGCCTGATGGTATCCAAGCATGTCACACAACCTCTGTGAGGTGCTATTGTTCCCACTTTACTGACACACCAGGGTCTTAAGCTGCAGCTGCTGAGTCCCTCCAGTGCTGTCACTTTAAATCAATCAAGGTGCATAGAGCTGAGCTACTGTCAGCCCAATGATCCATCTTGCCCACTAGCCTGGAGACAGAGCCTCAGGGAGAGTGTATAGACCAAGGCAAGTGTGATTGGACATTGGCTTTGGCTGCTGGCAGTCAGAGGTTTAACATCAATGCAAGCAGAGGGTTGTATCCCTGGCCAAGAGCCAGTACTGACCCTATTCTCCAAGAACCAATCTAGTTCTTTCTTGAACTCAGTTATACTTTGGGCTATCACCCTGGCAGTAAGTTCCACAGGTTAATTGTGTGGGAAAAAAAGACCTCACAGGACTGGAAGGGACCTCCAATAGATCATCTAGTCCAGGCCCCTGCACCCAAAGCAATAACTGGACCATCCCTGACAGTGGTTTGTCTAACTGCTTCTTCAAAACCTTCAGTGATGGAGATTCCACCCCCACCCTGGGCAATTTATTCCAGTGCTTAACCACCCTGACAGGAAGTTTTTCCAAATGTCCAAACTAAACCACCCTTGCTGCAATTTAAGCCCATTGCATCTTGTCCTCTCCTCAGAGGTTAAGAAGAACAATTTTTCACCTGCTTCCTTGTAACAACCTTTTATGTACTTAAACTTATGTTCCCATCAGTTTTCTCTTCTCCAGACTAAACAAACCCAATGTTTTCAATCTTCCCTCATAGGTCATGTTTTCTAGACCTTTAATCATTTTTGTTGCTGTTCTCTGGACTTTCTCCAATTTGTCCCATTGTTCCTGAAATGCGGCACCCAGAACTGGACGCAATACTCCAGTTGAGGCCTAATCAGCACAGAAGAATTGTGTCTTGTTTATAATGCTCCTGCTAATACATCCCACAATGATGTTGGCTTTCTTTGATCCACTGTGATCCCCAGCCCCCTTGCCAAAGAATTCCTTCTGAGACAGTTATTTTGCATTCCTCATCTTTGTATTAAACCTGCTTATTAATCTCATCAGCTGATCCCCCTTCCCCCACACTTCTGTATTGTGGAAAAGGAGACTTTTCTGCCAGTCATGATTTTATAGACCTCTATAATATCCCCCCTTTACCTATCTCTAAGGCCAAATTGCTTTAATCTCTCCTTGTATAGAAGCCATTCCCAATCCTGGGGCATCTTTTTGTTTCCCTTGTGTGAACCTTTTCCAGTTTCCCTAGATCCTTTTTGAGATGGGACAGCTGGACCCACACACAAGAGGGCAGGGGGTGCCCCCATGGGTTTATAGCATAGGCTCATGGTATTTTCTGTCCCTGTCCTAGTAGGTCCTAACAACCTTTCTGACCACAGCTGCCCCATGAGCTGACATTTTCAGAGAACTGGCCACACTGATGCTAAGCTCTCGCTCCAGCAAGTTGAGAAGCTAAATACACCCATGCTAGCTGGGCTGCTGCAACTCTCACAGGGTCACAGCCACTGGCAGCTGAGCAGCAACATGACCTCACACCCCATAGCCTTAGACTCCTGCTCGAACCCCCTGCCTCTCAGGGGGTCACACTCTGCTGAATGGGAACCCCCTTGGGTTGTAGAATTACACTAGAGTGGGGCTGCTTCTCTTTAGGTTGGTGATGATCCCTTAATTCCCTTAATCCAAGAATCTCCAAACCGTCCTCTTTACAGTGAGAGTAAAATACAGCCATTCTCCTGCCCCCGCCCTCCGAATTTAGTGAGGAGAGGGACGGGGGGGTAACTGCAAATAAGTGACTTGAAAGCAAAGCCCTTCGAACTTGTAATACAATTTTCAACCTCTGATGCTTCCCAAACCTGCAGTGGGCTCTTCCACTCCCCCCCCCCCCCCCCAAAGCTAGTGATGATCTCCCATCTCTTTCTTGTTGCATAGGCAGTTTGGGTGGCCCACAGCTGATGTGGGAACACTCCCAGCTGGGATGGGGATTTAATCAACAGTGCCTTAAAGAGGAAGCAGAGGGGGGTGGGGGAGGGGAGGGTCTGGTTTTCAGAAAGTCTGAGCATCTCCTCACTGATACAGGCCACAGCAGTGTCTTAAGTTGGGCACTTAAATAAATACATAAAAAGACAATTCAAGCTTTGCCAAAGCAGCTAAAGATCTTCAAGTCTTTAACCAGGGACAAAGCGCTAGACTGGCCAACCGACCTGGATTCTAGTCCCAATTCTGCTGGGTGACCTCAGGCATGTCCTGTCCTTGCTCTGTGCCTCAGTTTCCCCAGCTCTAAAGTAAGGATACTGGTACTGCTCACTTTTGTAAAGGGTGCTATGGGAGAGCTAAGGATTATTGTTTCCTAGCTGATATTGTTGGATAAATTGGATGGGCAGAAGGATTTAGCTCCCTTTGAAATCAACAGGAAGTCATTGCAATCAATGGGAGTTATGCACCCATGAGGATCTGGGCCTAGATCCCTTCTGCAGCAGAGTTTTGCTTTCTTGCTCTTTGAAGTCCCCTCCCGCTAGTCCTGTCCTCCTCCTCCTCCATGGAACCAGGGTCAACAAGCCCCGAGTTGGATGTTTACAGAATTGTAATTCTCCTCTGGCAGGGATATTATACCTCAGGGTTTAAACCACTCTCCCCCGGAGACCAGAATGAGAGCTGCCGGGTTCTTCCACCTTCCTCAGCAGTAGCTGGTGGGTGCTCCCACCGCAGGGATACAGGCTTGGTGGAACAGGGGGGCAAAGGCCCTGGCTGGCAATTTCTATTTTCCCACCAGAAGGCAGCTGCCATCGGGGGCAGCTGAAGAGGCACAAGCTTTCTCTCCCCCCTTCAGCGGGGAGAGAGAATCACCTGGCCCCCACCTCCACCAGGGGACGGCCCCAGCTCATCTTCCCTCCACTCTGAGATGGGTGGTCAGTGGCTCTAGCTTTGCTCCAGGTGCAGTGCTACCGTTCCACAGCAGGGCAGGCTCTGTCCCACGCCATCGCTGTC